AAGGGTAAAACCATTGAAAGGGGAGAATTGGGAGTCAGACTAGTTTTGTTCTGAAGAGTTTCTATCCTTATGTAATCTGTTAGATGATTCTACCATCTTCTTCATTAGGTTCCCTGCCTCTTTTTCCAACAACCATCCATTCAATATATATTTTTGGTAATTTTGTTTTTTGTTTTGTTTGATGTAACAAGGATTATCAAAAATATGCATTGATGAGACAGTTGCTGGAAAAAGAAACAGGGAGCCTAGTGAAGAAAGTATCATGACAACATAAGCAAATGGAAACAACTTCATGTTGGATCCTTAAACAGAGTGACACAGGACCATGATATCTGGTGTCAGTTGATTCATGTGAATGAACATTTTGTTATAGGTGGAAAAAAGTGCCTATGATAATGAATCTAATAATTTGGGCAGATTTGGGGGAAGTGAGTTGAGCTAGGAAATTTTCAACACAACCTCATATAATAATATTTGCAGTAGAAATATATAGTAAAAGTTTGTTTTTTTTACAGTGGCAATACAATGATAACCGTGAAGAAAGAGTTTTTTTGAGGTCATGAATTAATGTAAAGGTTACTGACAGAATAGAACTATAATATGAATAGTTTAATGAGCTTGTATAAATGTACATGTATTGAAAGGACAGTTGCTGGGAAAAGAATAGGGGAGATCAGTAAAGAAAGTGGCATGACAACAATAATCAAATGGACAACTTCTTCTTGGATCCTTTAACCAAGCTACCCAGGACTGTGAACTCTGGAGTGAGTGGAGTTATGTGAATGGCAGATTCTTCTACAAGAGGGGTGGGGGTTCTATGAATGAAAAACTGAATACAAAACTACATAAAATGTTTGTTGGGTTTTTTGTTTAACCTTATTTAATGTTAAAATTTAAGTATTTTGAATGCAATTTTATTTTTATTATAATGGTTTAGTGATAAAAAAATATTACTAATTAACCCATTGCTGGGGGAGAGGAGGTGGATTCATACCTTTCCCAAGGTTATGCGTATATAATCGAATATAACAAATCCATCAGAAATTGGAAAGCGACTCACTAAGTAACAATTCCAAGCCATTATCCATTACACTACCTGCACATTCAAGATTACAGCCCCTGGTATTCCCAAGCAGTTGACCATCTAGGTACTGATTAAGCTTGATGCTGCTTAACTTTAGGGATTATATAAGAACTGGTGTTTCAACATGATGTGACCAAATACTACATAAAAGAAGGAACCAATTTATCTTAATATAGTAAGTGATCAGCTCAAAGTCAAATTGGCAGCTAATCTCAAAAATTAGCTACATTCTGTTGTGAAATGGGGCGATGAGTGGCTTGTTAATTTTAATACCTCAAAAAACAGAACTGTTCTTTTTAATCATCTGAGAAGAGCCTTTTTACCTTCCATCAACATGGCTAATGCTAACCTCCAGGAGAGGGACTCACTGCACCTTCTCAGACTAACATTTTCAGCCAACATGAAGTGAAAAGAGTATATGGAACCAATTTCTAAGTCTGCAGCAAAGAAAGTTGGCTCACTATATTGTGATAGACAATTTTTCTCATCAGAATCTATCTTACATATAAGTCTACAATTTGGCCGTACTTTGAATATTGCAGCCACATATTGTCTGGTGCTCCTGCTATATATTTAGAGATTCTTGATAAACTCCAAAGAAGAATCTGCAATGTTGTTGGTCCTGATCAGGCATCTAAACTTCACTCACTTTCCCACCACAGTAACATACTTTACCTGTGCTTTTTTATAAGAATTTTCATGGTAATTGTTCTGATGAACTTTCTGCTACAGTAACTAAACTTTATGAATTTAAGCACAGTACTAAATTGGTAGTAAGGTCTCATTATTTACTAACAGTTTCTTCTCTTGCACTTCCTGCTTGTAGAAAGTGCTTCTGGTTTATTGCTTCCCTGTTAACAGTGATCTTCAAAAATTTAAATGCAATGTCATTCATTATCTTCTGTCTTAACTCTTGTTCTTTTATTGCCCTCTCTCCTTAATAGTAGTTTTTCTCATATCCTCTAACACTCAGCAAACCCTTGCATCCTAGTGGCTTTATTGCCTTGCTTAGGGTGAAATGATAAAAAAATAAAATGAAAAACTTAATAAATCTTATATTTTCATTTAGTAATTCTAGCTAGTCCCCATTATTAATTTCAACCTCACAAAATTTATTACCAATATCTCAATATGATCCTCACTTTCATAGATAAAAGTTCTTGTATTAAACAAAACAATATATGTGTTTATACACAAATATATATTGCTTGTCCTTGTTTGAAATGTAATTTCCCTCAAATAGAAAAAAGAATTGCACCTGGCCAAACTCAAAACCAGCGGCAAAGTGACCTATTTATTCTTGTGGTTCATCAAAAATCTATTTACAAAGGCCAAATAATCAGGTAAAAATAGAAATATCACAGGTGAATGATTTTGTAAAGGTAACAATCTACACAGGAAAAACACTGTTTCTAATTGATTTAGACACTTGGTTTTATGGGTTTTTTTTCTTTAGTTCTCTCCCTGCAACAGCTTTAAAACCACTCAAATCACCAAATACAAAACAAACTTACAAGACTGCAACTTATACAGCTACTAATTATACATTAGTCACTTCATCCATTATTATTCATTTTTTTGCTATTCCTTTTTATTGCAATTTTATTTGCTTTTCATTCTAATTCCTCAAAATGTCATTCTATAGACTTTAATAAAACAGTATAGATTGGGGCTAGAGGAATAGGCTTATTTGTTGCCTGCATGCTTTAAAAAGGTTCCAATTTCTTTTTTTTTTTGCATAAATTATGTTTATTTGTAATTATTTAAAACAACCCTTATTTTTTTTTTTTTTTACTAGTATTTAATTTTCAACCATTATTTCTGACTATCCATTGATAGGTCAGCTACTAAGAAAGTCGATCCACTGTATCATGTGAGACAATTTTTCTCTCCAGAATCTATCTTGCGTATCTATAAGTCTACCATTCGCTGATGCTTAGAATATTGCTGCCACAATCAGTGACCCTACCATTTACCTGGAGCTCCTTGATAAAATCCAAAGATGTATCAGCAATATTATTGGTCATGATCTGGCAGCCCAGCTTCAGTAACTTTCACACTGCCATGAGGTTGCCGTTCTGTGCCATTTCTATAAATACTTTCATGGTAATTATTCGGATGAGCACTTTACTGTGGTACTGTATGAATTTAAGCACAGTACTAGACTGGCGGCACGATCTCATCAATTTTCAGTTGAGTTGGCTAGATGTACCCATAATTTTATCCTAACAGTTTCTTTTCTCACACTTCTTTCATGTGGAATTCCCTGTCCTGTTTTCCAGCCAACTTTAATCTGCAAGAATTTAAATGCAATGTCAATCACTATCTACTGTTCTCCTGATTACTCTTTTTCTACTCATTACTAATGCTTCAGTTTCTAATTCCCCCACACCCTGTAATCCCTTGTGGCTTAGTGGCTGTACTGCCTTGCTTGGGGGTGATACCAATTTAAAAAATCTTTCATCTTAATTTTAGTTGTTTTTTTTTGTTCAACAACATCCTTTAGTCAACAATTATAATATGAAAATTAAGATAAATACCAATCAAAAGTTAATGGTTAACAAATCTTTCTTTAATAATTCAAGATATTACTTATACTGTCAATAAAGCAACTTTAATTCAAGATGAAAGAAACACCACTTAAAAATTAATAATGATTGGCAATGCTTCATCTAATTCAAAGCAATATTACTTCTTTATGTGCCATGTCCCTTCAGGATGTAGGCAATCATGGCTCTCCACAACTTCTTTTCCTATGGAGATATAAACATCAAGTAGGTGCAGAAGTTAAAATATCTGAGAAGTATTTTAACAGAGAATGAAAAATGCAACACCGAGATCCAAACACACATTGGACTAGCTAAAGAAGAATTCAAAAAAAAAAAAAAATAAGAAAGGTGCTGAGAAATAGAAAAAATTCTTAGAAACAAAGAAAAAAGTGCTGGATTGTTATGTGATATCCATCCTCTTATATGGCAGTGAATGTTGGACAATCTCCCTACAGATTAGGAAAAAATGATATGCAGCAAAAATTTGGTTCTACAGAAGGATACTGAGAATTCAATGGACAGAGTGAATAAGCAATGAGGAAGCCTTAAAGAAGATGGCAACAGAAAGAATACTTCTAGTCAAAATCAGGAAAAGAGAGATGAAATTCCTTGCACACATAGGACTTGTAAAACTTAACCCTCATGGGGCAAAGATAAGGAAAAGCAACTAGCCACTTATCTGACAAGCTTGTGTGAATGGACAGCCAAACAGTGGGCGAGGCCTTAGCAAAAGGAGAAAAACTGCTAGAAGCCACACAAAATAGTTGTGGAGAGTCACAATCCCCTTTGTCCTGAAAGGACATGGCATATAGAACAAATCAGAAAATGACAGCGATGAAAAAAAATATGTGTGCCAAATAGTCATTTCTTAAACCAATTGTGCCAAAAACTCAACCACATACATAATTTCCTTGCTAAGCAATGAAATCCACATGAGCCTGACAAGCAGTTCTATATTTTCATACACTGGGTTACTCTGCAACCATTTCCTTGTTAAGCAATGAAATCCTCACAAGCCTGACTAATTATTTCCACTGTCATTATATGCAGCTCCTTTCAATAATGCAAACAATTTTTGGAATGATGATGAATCATCTGGAAAATTACAGAAACATCTTCAAAAACTCATTCAATAAATATACACACCCAAAAGTAAAAAAGAAAAATAATTAAAATGTTGATTTACCCAGAATGTTCCAGCCTACTTCTAGGAGTGCCAAGCCAGTCTTCAGGTAAAGAAATATTGGCAGATGTCTTCTTGATTCCATATCCATAATGCTTCCTTTCATGCTGATATGAATAGCAATCAAAGAGAGAAAAATCCCTACTGAAACAAAAACAAGGTTTCCAATATAGTACATCCAAACCAGGTGACATTCATTGTAGTTTAATTTATCCTTTTGGTTGTTGAACACAGCAGCAATGGCAATCAACCTGGTAAAATAAAAGAAAATTGAAAAAGAAGGTAAAAATATTTAGCAACTACAAGATAGAATTGGTATTTAAAGATATGGATAAAGATATTTATTATTTTAATTACATTATATTTTTAGTGGATGCACTTGTTCAAGTAGATGCCCAGTCTTCATTTTTTAAATAATGTGAATTACATCTAACAAACAGTGCATTAGAAAGTTTTAGTAAAGAAAATATTCCCTCCATGTACAAGGGGAAACCATACCACTTTCATTAAGACTATCAAATGCACAAGCCGTTAGATGTAATTCACACTGTTTAAAAATATATACAGGAGTTGGACAAAATAATTGGAACAGGTGCAAATTCCACTCCTATATTTCAAAGACCTATTATATTAAGAACTAAAACATTCGTAATTGCAGGTTATATCTATTGTAAATACATTTATTTATCTAATTTATTGTCTTTGTCTTATTTATTATTAGAATTTAGTAAAATTTAAGCTAAATGCGTGCTCTTCTCAAAGTTCAAAAAAAGGGCAAATTGTTGGAGCTCGCATGACAGGAGCCTCGATCACTAAGGTTGCTGAACCATTTGGTTTTTCAAGAGCTACCATACCAAGAACTATGACAATTCAAGAAACAGGGTAAAACCTCTAGCAGCTGTAGCAATTTGGTCCAGACTTGCAAACTTACTGACAGAGACCAATGTGCATTGAAACACAACGTGGCAAAAAATCATTGAACAACTGCAGCCAAAGTGACTACGGAGTTGAATAATCATCTGAATAGTCCAGTTTCTACTAAAACTTCATCATGAGCTCCATAAGGCTGGATATCATGGAAGAGTTGCCGTATAGAAACTTCTTCTCTTCACTCACAACATTGACTGCATCTTCCAAGACGATAATGCTCCAATACATACTGCTAGAGTGGTTATAAATTGGTATGAAGAGCATGAAAGTGAGCTAGAACACATGGAGTGGCCTCCCCAATCTCCAGATATCAATATTAGTGAACATTTGTGATGCATTTTGAAGAGAAAAGTTAGGAGCCGCTATCCTCCACAGTCATGATTTAAAGAGCTGGAGCAGGTGTTAATGGAAGAATGGCTGAAGTCAGGAAGCTGTATGATTCCATTCCTAGACATATTAAAGCTGTAGGTGAGGCTAAAGGAGGACCAACTCCATATTAAATCAATTTTCTTTGAATTTAACAAATGTTTCAATTATTTTGTCCAACCCCTGTATATAGGGTGTTCCAATAACTTGAACCGGAAAAGGAAATTGTAAAATATATTTCTTGGTCATTACCGATGCATTTCATCAATCTGATTTTTATCAAGGCAAGTTTAAAACTGAAATGTTTTTTAGTTACATTAAATTCAAAATATTAAAAAGGGAATGCTCCTGTGTAAGCATCCTTCTGGATATTGTTAATTTTTTTTTTTGTTTATTACTAAAAATTTGTTTTAGTTTTCCATGTCAACATATTGTTAAATTTCTCAGAATAATTCTGAAGACAATTTCAATAAAAAAAAACTTATCTTTTTATCCAAATAGTCTTCTTATCTTCAGAATTATTCTGAGAAATTTAACATACACACATTATAATAATTATTAACATAATTATTAAAACTAAACTCAAAATCCATAGTCTTGTTCCATTGTCAAGTGATGATAGGAATAAACCTTTAAAAAGAAAAAAAAAATAAATAAATTTATAAGCATATACAATATTGCATTCACTTATAAATTAAGTAGATTTTTTGAAAGTTTATTCAATATTCTATACACTTATAATTAATATTATATAATATTGTATTTTTAAAAAGAAAATAAATTATATATATATATATATATATATATATATATATATATATATATACACACACACACACAGAGTGAGAGACAGAGAGAGAGAGTGAGAGACAATTCACCTTTAACATTGCCTGGGTTTCAAACTTATGGTCCCATCATGGTTTTTTTTTTAGCACTATAGCTTTTTATAGCCTGCTTATATGACTTAACTTAGCACCATAAAGTAAAATTATCATAAGGGGAGTGGGGAGGAAAACTGTGGGAAGAACCAGAAGTGAGAAAAAGAAAATCACATAAATATCATCAACTCCGTCCATATTGTGCCAGAGTATGTTTATTAATATGTCTGCATTTGGGAATCACTTCAGACCATTCATTCAACAACTTGTCTATCCAGGTAGGTCACAATAGCCAGTTTTTCCTCTTCACACAACCTACAAACCCTGCCATTAAAACTGCAAGAGAAATGCCATATTTTTGTATTTTTCAAAATAAATAAATTGCTTTCCACTTTATGAATTTAAGCTCAGTACTAGATTGGCAGCATTTTATAGTTGAAATGACTATATGTAACTAAGTTCTATGCTAACAGTTTCTTCTCTTGCACCTCTCATATGTGGAACTCTTGCAGCTTCATGCTTTCATGTCAAGTTTGATCACCAAAAATTTAAATGTAATGTCATTCCTGTTCTTCTATTGTTCTCTCTCCACATATTCACTCACAGTCAGCAACCCCCTTGCAACTTAGTGGCATTATTGCCTTGCTTGGGGTGAAATGATTAACTTTTCAATTTCTCAATCCCTCACACAAATAGTTGTCTTTTCCCACACGTTTCCCCAACAACTTGGATAGTATGGTTTCCCTTCTCAATCTGTTTCACCTCCATCGCCAAGTCCTGTCATGCCACGCAGCTTTGCTTTCTTGACAATTCTGATCATGCTGTAGTCTCTGTCAACATCTCCTACTCCAATCCCAGCAAAGAAGCTCCTACCAACAGAATATCTTTCTGTTATCAATGAGCAGACTGGGATTTGTTTGGGATTTCCCTCGCGATGTCCCCTGGGAGGTGGTCTTTAAACTCCCCATTCAAGAATGCGTTTCCAAATTCTCCTCCTGAGTAAAAGCTGAATCGAGGTTTTCATCCCCACAAGGAAATATAAGGTTAAACTCTGAAGACCCTTCTGACCCATCTAACTACCATCCTATCAGTCTCCTACCACTCCTCGGCAAAATCTTTGATGCTTTAATCAACGCCGAAGTGGTTAAGCACCTTACATCCCATCATCAGCTCTCTGACAAGCAACATGGTTTCCACTTTGCCCAATCTACCACTGATGTGCTCACAGCCATAACTGAATTTGTTTACCAAGCACTTCACAATAACGAGGAAGCTGGAGATGTGGCTCTAGATACCTAAAGCATTTGATAGAGTATGGCATGCCGGCCTTCTTCAGAAACATCAGGGATAGGGAATTTCAGGTCAATTATTTGACAATACAATCATTCCTGTCAAATCATGTAATGAAGGTCATCCTTAACAGATTCTCCTATAGTTCCTTTCCCACAAACGCAGGTGTTCCCCAAGGCTCTATCCTGGACCCTACTCTGTTCCTTATCTTCATGAACAATCTTCTATTTACTCCTGCCTCAAAAGCAAATCTGGTATCACTGATGGATCTAACCTGGCTATTAATCTCGAAAAGGACATCCAATCAGTTGTAGACTGGGGCAGGAATTGGCTGGTTAACTTTAATGCCTCAAAAACAAAACTTCTCTCTATTACTCACCACAGGGAACCATCCCAGCCTCCCATTAGAATTTCTGATGCTCAACTCCACAAGAGCACCACTTTGCAACTGCTTGGTCTCACACTGTCTGCTGATCTGAGATGGAACAAATATATTGACTCAATAGATTCATCCACCGCAAGGAAAGTTAGTTCCCTGTGTCATGCCAGAAAGATTTTCTTACCAGAGTCCATCCTTCAAATCTATAAATCAACAATTTGCCCTTGCATGGAATACTGCTGTCATATATGGTCTGGTGCTCCTACTGTTCATCTTAAGGCCCTCGACAAAAATCCAGGGACGGATATGCAATGTGATTGGCCCAGATTTGGCATCTCATCACAGACATGTCGTCACCTCCCTCTGTCTGTTTTACAAATACTTTCACGGTAACTGCTCCGACAAGCTACTTTCGCTAGTTCCCAGACTTCATGAATTTAAGTGTTCAACTAGGCTGGCATCTTAGTCCCACCCTTTCACTGTCAAAACAGTTAAATGTAGCCGTCTCTTCTACTCCAATAGCTTCATGTCTCGTACCTTCCATCTGTGGAATTCCCTTCCTATTACTGGTTTCTCCTGATAGCTACAATCTCCAACTATTCAAATATAATGTCAATCGACATCTCCTGATGCCTTGATCTATTCCCTGTCCTTCTCTTCATCTTTTCCCCTTTCATGCCTCTTTACTCTTGCTCCCACTCTCTGTAACCCTTCGTGTGCTAGTGGCATCCTGGGGTGAAATGCTTAAAACGAAACAGACAACAACCAGACAGACAGACAGAAACCAGACAACCACCACCACCAAACAGCCAACAACAACCAAATAGACAATGACAATAACAGTTTCCCCTTCAAAGAGGAAAGGTGAAAGAAACATCCAGAGTGAGTGGGTTAATGAAAACCTAAAAGAAAAATTATCATCCATATCATCCAGTGTGTATTTATAGATTTCCTGTCCTATTAGAGGGCCTAATAAGACAGACTGAAATACAAACATGATAGTGAACAGTGCTTAATATCCTGTAAATATACTGTATATTTTTTTTGTGCGCACTAAAGGGATATTGTATTAATGCTCTTTCATGGCATAAATTACCATATAATTTTGAAAAGAAGGAATTTGTGTATAAAAAAAAAAAAAAAATATATATAATAGAATGGTAATACATTTTTTTATTTATTAATTAGTAATATTTTATCTTATTTATTAATGGTATTTCATTTATTTATTTATTATATTTATTTAAATGGTAATACATTTTTTTTAACAGTAAGGTTCACTCTGTACAAGGCCCAGGGGCCCACTTCAAGTAGAGGATTAGATTACCCAGGGGCCCACTTCAAGTAGAGGATTAGATTATGGAGTAGGTTATATGGATAGGAGGGGAAGATAACAGTTAATGCTAAA